AAATCCCTATGTGGAAGTACGCGTCCTTCTTGTCGAGGGCGGCATATCAGTCTCCAGGGAAGGAATAATGGTCCCCAGGGAAACCATGTGGAACTTCCCAACTTTACCATGAATTTGTTGAGTCCGTGCAGGTCCAGAATGCGTCGTAGCCCCCACTTTGCCTTGGGGATTAGAAAGTAGCGGAAGTAAAACCCCTTGCCCCTCAGTTCCTTTGGAATCTCCTTTATAGCGTTGATAGTTAGGAGCGTTTGCACCTCCTGTAGGAGTCACCGCTCGTGAGAGGGGTCCCTAAAGAGGGATGGGGAGGGAGGGTGGGAAAGGGGGGGACAAAACAAATGGAAGGCGGTATCCACTTTCCACCATACGTAAGACCCAATGGTCTGACATTATGCGGGACCACGCAGGGAGGAAATAGGAGAGCCAGTTGGTGAAAGGTGGGGAAGGATCCTGTAAGGAGACTGGTGCTCCGCCCTCTGGCACACCTTCAAAAAAGTTTTGTTTGGGCCCCAACGATGGTTTGGGGGGACCCTGGTTCTGGCCCGTGTGAGGACCAGATTGTTTCTTCCTACCACCCCGGCCGTGTCTTCTAGAGAAGTCCTGTCTCGGCCAGGACTTCTAGTATGACAGGAAACCAGATATTTGGGCTTTGAAGAAAGCCAATGTGTTCCTGGGGAAACCTCTCATTAACAGACTGTACAATGAGGGAGCACAGTTGGGGGTGAATATACGAGTACTTCCTCTCCACTCCCTTGGCAGTGGGAGGAATGGATGCTGGAGATTGCCAGATCGTATTGGCATTAGCCTGGATGGTCCGAATAAACGGCAAAGCTATACATGTCGGGGTATCGGCAGATAAAACGTCCACTACCGGATCCTCGACCTCCACCACCTCCTCCACCTGGAGGTCCATGTTCTGTGCCACCCTGCGAAGCAAGTCTTGGTGTGCACGGAGGTCTATAGGTGGGGGGCCAGAGGAGGACGTACCCGCCACCGCCTCGTCAGGCGAAGAGGAGGAGGAAATGCCAGGGACTAACGGGTCCTGGGGCAAATCTTGCTGGGGGGGGGGGGGGGGGGGGGGAGGCGCTGAGGCGACGGCCCTACCCTCAGCGCAGGCCCATGCCCCTAGCATGGTGGACCTAGGGCAGCCGGACCCCCCCCCCCCCCCCCCCCCC